CCCCTGTCAGCCGGCTGGGCGGGAGCCGGCGGAGGGCCGGGCGGGCGCCGGCGGCGGCCGGCGGAGGGGCCGGGCGGGGCTCTGCTACCCCCCCCCCCCTACCTCCCCCCTGTCAGCCGGCTGGGCGGGAGCCGGCGGAGGGGCCGCAGGGGGCTCCGCTGCCCTCCTGTCAGCCGGCGGAGGGGCCGCAGGGGGCTCCGCTGCCCTCCTGTCAGCCGGCCGGGCGGGCGCCGGCGGAGGGGCCGCAGGGGCTCCGCTGCCCTCCTGTCAGCCGGCCGGGCGGGCGCCGAAAGACCTTGTGCGTGGTCTCTTTGGTGTTTCTGAGCTCATTAAAAGGCGACTGTAAAAGAAGCGCGGCGCTGACAGAACAAAATCAACTGGTGTCTCATTTACTTTTGTGTGGTAGGATTTCTTCCCTTCCAGGGCTTCAAGATCATATAAATTGCACTAGATACAATCTCGTATTACTTCGTTCCCCCCCACCCCTACCCCACCCCCATTCCCACATCTACTCGCATCCCCTCCCCCACCGCAAGCCTGCTCCCCCAGTGTGAAATATTGCAATTCCAAGGTATACATCATACTGAATGCATAGTCGAGCAATGCGGCCAAAAGCAAACAAATTACGAACCGATGCTTGTGTTTACGATACAGGAGGCAAATACCCCAAATCTGACGAGAAAACGGCATTAGGATTAATATGAAGTCGATCCGCTCGTGACAAAGCTCTCCCGACAGCTGGTGTTGTGGAACCACAGACTGACGCCCATCCGACTCACGCGGCAGCTGAGGCCTGTGGCTCCACGGCCGTGCGGCGTCACGACACGTGGCCTGGCCTTGCGAATCTGTAAGCTGAAGATGGAATGCAGATTATTTGCTGCCAGGATAACGTTCCCAGCTGGGTAACTGATCTGATTACGAAACGGTTACAGGGGCGACCAAAGCGGCCTGGTGGAGGGAGTCGTCATTGAGAGCAGAACTGATCACAAGCGAGGGTGAGGAATGACTCCGGGATGTGGGGATGACTTTGCGCTGCACTAGTTTTAATGTTAATGTATTTCCAACTCCGTTCCACTTTGTGTTTGCCGGTTCATCAAACGAGCGACTTCGTGTTACGTCATGCCACGCCGTGACTTATCGTTGAAGCGCCAAGGGTCTTTCGTGTCCTGAGGAGCTTTAATTGGTTTGAGCAGTGCCGTCACTGTCTGCTGTGCACAGCCGTCACTGTCTGCTGCGCGTGGCCGGCTTAGTACGGCGCTGGTGCAGCGTCCCATGTCTACCCGTCACTGTCTGCCCCGCGTCTACACGTCCCGTGTCGCGCCCCATGTCTACCCGTCACTGTCTGCCCCGCGTCTACCCGTCCCGTGTGCTGCCCCATGTCTAGCCGTCAGTGTCTGCCCCGCGTCTACCCGTCCCGTGTACGGCCCCATGCCGGCCCGGTATTGTCGGCCCCGCGTTCAGCCGTCACCGTCTGCGATGCGCAGCCGGCTGAGCACGGTGCTGGTGCAGCGCGGCACGCTACGGCGCGGCGCCGTGCTGGTGTCGGGTGGCTGCTGGGCCCGCGTGCGCGCCATGTTCGACGACGCCGGCCTGCCGGTGCAGCGCGCGCTGCCCAGCAGCCCGGTCGAGGTGCTGGGCTGGCGCGAGCTGCCCTCGGCCGGACAGACCGTGCTCGAGGTCCACTCTGAGGTCAGTTGTCCGGCCGCTCGGCCGGCCCTGCGCGCGCAGGCCGGCTCTCATGTACTCATGCGACGGCGCTCCGCTCTACAGACGGGGGGTGGTTCCCACCTTCTTACTGGGTGCTGTATACTGTTTTACCCGAGTTAGCAATAGTTGTGCCATTGGAGCTTTGCCGTATTTATTTCAGCGCTCTTTATGTGGAATCTCGTACATTTGACACTCGAGGGGATTGGATTGATGCTGTCGGTGTATAAATTCGTGGATCACTAAAAGGTGTAAATGTTGATATGATTTGTCTGTAACAATGTGGCGAGTGCTGAGCTCGCGTCCCCGCTCGGGGTACCTTACATCGTGCAATTACACGGAATGTATGTCCTCTCCAAAACGTGCCACCATTGAAACCCTTGTCGGCAGCCACATGCAATGGTTACATTTGGCTCACCAGCGAGTGGCTCTGCCATCGATGACTGAGTTTGTGCTGGGCTGCAGCGCCAGGCCAGGGAGGTGGTGGGGTGGCGCCAGAGCCAGGAGTCCCACCGCAAGGCACAGGACAATCAGCTGGCCGCCCAGCAGAAGCTGGAGGCGCATCTGGCGGAGTACCGCGCGGCACGCCAGGAGCGGCTCCAGAAGGGTCTGAGGTGAGGGCGGCTCCGACACACGGTGTGCACAAGCACTTAGAACACTGCGGCGGCCAGCCAAATAGTGCCATTTGTGGATATAGTGCGGGGCCCACGCCTTCCATCTGCCTGTGTATTGGCATAATCACACAGCCAATTTAATGGAATGGCATTGACGGATGGCATACAATGTGCTCAAAAATTAAAGGGAATGTTTCGCTACAACACTTAACCCCGATATTTTGAAGTGTGTGGTGGAGCCTAACGTGATTGCACAGGTTCGTGCTCCCAGCTGACATGAAGTGGCCGGACCTTATTTGTCAATGATTCACCGACAAACAGAAAAAGAACATATACAGCGGGTTAGGACGCGGAGGAAGAGATTAAAACCCCCAATGCAGATGGAGCTTGTCGCCTGCTTTTCTTCACATCGCTTCTGTGAAGGACCGCATATGCCTAAAGTTAACGCCTGCAACGTCACCGAACAAATCCCGATGGGAGTGTGCCGTGCCCGTTCCGAGCGTGCGTTGCGCCCGTTCCGAGCGTGCGTTATGACCGTTCCGAGCGAGCGTTGTGACCATTCCCAGCTCGCATTGTGACCGTTCCGGACATGCGTCGTGACGGTGCCGGGCGTGCGTTGTGGCCGTTCCGAGCGTGCGTTGTGACCGTTCCGAGCGCGTGCGTTGTCACTGTTCCGTGCGTGCATTCCTGGCAGCCGTGACTGTAGCGAGCGGCCTTTTGGGGTCATGGAGTCGATTTATATCCGTTTTGCATGACGCGATTTTCACATGCACCCAGTTTTTGTGGTGTATCCTATTTGGGCTGCTTGGAGAATTATTTTCTTGCCGAACAGGTTCAACGTGAGGTCGAAGGGTCCTCGGAAAAAAGAGGCAACCGATCAGCACTCGGGCCCCACCCTCTCCATCGTGGTGAAAGGTGAGCAGTTTGTCAATGAGGTCGTGTGGTGGCGCGTTGTTTTCCACGCGTTGGTGAGCTTCGGACACGCTGCTCGTTTTCATTTATCATGCAAGTCTGGTACCTTGGCTTTGCTCCGGTTAATGTTGTGGTGCATATGGCCGACTGGTGCTAGACACGTTGCTCTCTGTGTTTGGCGTGCAGGGGACGTGGACGGCTCGGTGGAGGCGATCCTGGACGTGCTGGACACTTACCACGAGCCGGAGGTGCGGCTGGACGTGCTGCACTACGGCGTCGGCGCCGTCACTGAGAGCGACATCAGCATCGCGCAGATGTTCAACGGTGATAGCACGGAACTCGACAGACTCGTGCGGGCATGCCGCTGAACCGGCTCTGACTCTTGTGGGCATGTCGCTGAATCGACTCTGATTCGTGCGGGCATGCCGCTGATCCGGCTCTGATTCGTGCGGGCATGCCGATGAACCGGCTCTGATTCGTGCAGGCATGTCACTGAACCGGCTCTGACTCGTGTGGGCATGTCGCCGAACTGACTGACTCGTGCGGATATGCCGATGAACCGGCTCTGACTCTTGCGGGCATGTCGCTGAACCGGCCCTGATTCGTGCAGGCATGCCACTGAACCGGCTCTGACTCGTGTGGGCATGTCGCTGAACTGACTGACTCGTGCGGACATGCCGATGAACCGGCTCTGACTCTTGCGGGCATGCCGCTGAACCGGCTCTGACTCTTGCGGGCATGCCGCTGAACTGGCTCTGACTCGTGTGGGCATGTCGCTGAACTGACTGACTCGTGCGGACATGCCGATGGACCGGCTCTGATTCGTGCAGGCATGCCGCTGAACCGTCTCTGACTCATGTGGGCATGTTGCTGAACCGGCTGACTCGTGCGAACATGCCGATGAACCAGCTCTGACTCGTTTAGACATGTCGCTGAATCGGCTCTGACCCGTGCGGAAATGCCGATGAACCGGCTCTGACTCATGTGGGCATGTTGCTGAACCGGCTATGACTCGTGCGGACATGCCGATGAACCGGCTCTGACTCGTGCGGACATGCCGATGAACCGGCTCTGACTCGTGCGGATATGCCGACGAACCGGCTCTGACTCGTGCGGACACGTCGCAGTCGTGGCAGTAGCGGCCAGCCTTGCTAGCTAGGCGTTCTTACTTGTAATAAAACTAGAGGAAATTGCACCAAGCCATGGAATACTGGGAAAAAGAGCACTGTTTTTGGCGATAACGCTATGTCTTTTTGCCATAGGCCGTGGCATCTACCGCTTGTAAAGGAAATAATTTTGCGTGCGTGTAGTGCAAGCTTTAATTGGTGCAAAGTCTATTACGCCCATCAGTTTCAGCGAACCCATGTTTGTTTTTCAACTGTGGACAATTGCGTTAGACGGCAGGAACCCCGTTCATCATCGCCGCCGTGAAATTCGTCAGGCAAGCGTGACGCCGCGGGCAGGTGTCGTGTACGGCTTCAACGTGGAGGTGTCGGCCGAGGTGGCCGCGCTCGCGCACGCCTCCAACACGCCCGTCCGCCTGCTGAACGTCATCTACCGACTGGTGGACGACGTACGAGATGAGATCAACCAGCGCATGCCGGTCACGGATGTGGAGGAGGTGATCGGTGAGAGACTCAGGATGTAGAAAAAGTGATCTGGGTGAAGAACTCAGGGTGTGGAGAAGGTGATCGGTGAGACCCATGGCATGGAGGTGTTCGGTGAGAGACCCAGGGCATGGAGGTGTTCGGTGAGAGACCCAGGGCAGGGAGGTGTTCGGTGAGAGACTCAGGGCATGGAGGTGTTCGGTGAGACCCAGGGCAGGGAGGTGTTCGGTGAGAGACTCAGGGCATGGAGGTGTTCGGTGAGAGACTCCAGGGCATAGAGGTGTTCGGTGAGAGACTCAGGGCATGGAGGTGAACGGTGAGACCCAGGGCAGGAGGTGTTCGGTGAGAGACTCAGGGCATGGAGGTGTTCGGTGAGAGACTCAGGGCATAGAGGTGTTCGGTGAGAGACTCAGGGCAATGGAGGTGTTCGGTGAGACCCAGGGCAGGGAGGTGTTCGGTGAGAGACTCAGGGCATGGAGGTGTTCGGTGAGAGACTCAGGGCATGGAGGTGATCGGTGAGACCCAGGGCAGGGAGGTGTTCGGTGAGAGACCCCAGGGCAGGAGGAGGTGTTCGGTGAGGGGCCCGGTACATGGAGGAGGTGTTTGGTGAGAGACTCAGGGCATGGAGGTGTTCGGTGAGAGACCCAGGGCATGGAGGTGTTCGGTGAGAGACCCAGGTCGTGGAGGAGGTGTTCGGTGAGAGACTCAGAGTGTAGATGTGATTGGTGAGAGACTCAGAGTGCAGATGTGATTGGTGAGAGACTCAGAGTGTAGATGTGATTGGTGAGAGACTCAGAGTGTAGATGTGATTGGTGAGAGACTCAGAGTGTAGATGTGATTGGTGAGAGACTCAGAGTGCAGATGTGATTGGTGAGAGACTCAGAGTGCAGATGTGATTGGTGAGAGACTCAGAGTGTATGTGATTGGTGAGAGACTCAGAGTGCAGATGTGATTGGTGAGAGACTCAGAGTGCAGATGTGATTGGTGAGAGACTCAGAGTGCAGATGTGATTGGTGAGAGACTCAGAGTGTAGATGTGATTGGTGAGAGACTCAGAGTGTAGATGTGATTGGTGAGAGACTCAGAGTGTAGATGTGATTGGTGAGAGACTCAGAGTGCAGATGTGATTGGTGAGAGACTCAGAGTGCAGATGTGATTGGTGAGAGACTCAGAGTGTAGATGTGATTGGTGAGAGACTCAGAGTGTAGATGTGATTGGTGAGAGACTCAGAGTGTAGATGTGATTGGTGAGAGACTCAGAGTGTAGATGTGATTGGTGAGAGACTCAGAGTGTAGATGTGATTGGTGAGAGACTCAGAGTGCAGATGTGATTGGTGAGAGACTCAGAGTGTAGATGTGATTGGTGAGAGACTCAGAGTGTAGATGTGATTGGTGAGAGACTCAGAGTGTAGATGTGATTGGTGAGAGACTCAGAGTGCAGATGTGATTGGTGAGAGACTCAGAGTGCAGATGTGATTGGTGAGAGACTCAGAGTGTAGATGTGATTGGTGAGAGACTCAGAGTGTAGATGTGATTGGTGAGAGACTCAGAGTGTAGATGTGATTGGTGAGAGACTCAGAGTGTAGATGTGATTGGTGAGAGACTCAGAGTGCAGATGTGATTGGTGAGAGACTCAGAGTGTAGATGTGATTGGTGAGAGACTCAGAGTGCAGATGTGATTGGTGAGAGACTCAGAGTGCAGATGTGATTGGTGAGAGACTCAGAGTGCAGATGTGATTGGTGAGGGACGCAGCTGGCCGCGACCTGAGGGACCGACGTGTCGCCGTCCCGGTGTACGTCATACGGTAATGGGCCGCACGCTCGCGGCGCTGATGAGGCCCATGCATCAGACACAGGGCACGATGTATGTGTTGAGCCGGTCAGGCTGTGGCGTAGGTATGATCAGGCCCTTGATGTAGGTATGATCAGGTCCGTGTGCCGCGGATAAGCCACGTCGGCGTGCGGCCATATGTGTTGAGCCGGACAGGCTTTGGTGTAGGTATGATCAGGTCCGTGATGTAGGCATGATCAGGGCTCTAATGTAGGTATGATCAGGCCCTTGATGTAGGTATGATCAGGCCCTTGATGTAGGTATGATCAGGCCCGTGATGTAGGCATGATCGGCCCTTGATGTAGGTATGATCAGGCCCTTGATGTAGGTATGATCAGGCCCGTGATGTAGGCATGATCAGGCCCTTGATGTAGGTATGATCAGGCCCGTGATGTAGGCATGATCAGGCCCTTGATTTAGGTATGATCAGGCCCGTGATGTAGGTATGATCAGGCCCGTGTGTAGGTATGATCAAGCCCGTGTGCCGCGGATAAGCCACGTCGGCGTGCGGCGATATCTGTGTGTTCGTGTGCGGTGAATTGGATTGGTTTGGCCCGTGCACGACAGGCTATTCTTGCCACCCTGCCCTTTATTCGACAGGTGAGGCGAACGTTTTGCAGGAATTCATTGTCACTGAGAAGAAGCACAAGATCCCTGTGGCGGGCTGCAGATGCGTGAAAGGCCTGCTCAAGAAATCCGAGAAATACCGACTAGTGCGCGAAGGAGAGACAATACATGAAGGTACAATATTTTCCTGCGATTTAACGTACTTAGTCTGTTACATTCTAAACCGGTGGTTAAAGAATAAATATTTGCGCCTAATTATATAGGTCACTCAATATAATATAATAGGTCACTTAACTAGAGCTTGGTGCTGTTTAATCGCACTGCCCGTCAAACCAAATAGACGATATGGCTCATGCTGAATAATATTGCTGCCAAAGCGACGATTGACAAGGTGCATAATTTTGAAGGCACCATTCCGACCATGCCGCATGGATGAATGTATCGGAGGTCCATCTGCTAACTAAGCATAGCTTGCTGTAAAGACCGCGACCCCCACCACCATCACTATAGCAATCCCGGCACAGTCGGCACCACCCGTCAGAAGACTGTAGCCTGCCAGGCAGTGCTGCGATGCGGCTGTCCATAGCCCGGCGCTCTCAAGAGCTGGCACATGGCCTGTATTGGAATGCGATCACGTAAACCCTGGCCACACACTAGTCAGCGTCCGACGCCGTTCTGAGCTACGTGGGCGCACCGGGCTGCTGGGCGTAGTTTTTGTTTTGCCGAGACGCACTCGGGGACTGATTGTGCCGATCTCACGACCCCGGCACGTCGCAGACCTAAAGGCCGAGAGCACAGCCGCACCAGAGGCTGGTGCCGGTGGGCTGTATGGCCTCAATGCAACGGTGCCGCGTTGTCGGCAGGCGCCATGGCCTCGATGCGACACCTGAAGAATGAGGTCGACACCATCAAGAAGGACGTGGAGTGCGGCCTGATGCTGGCCGACACGGAGGTGCGCTTCGAGCCGGGTGATACGCTCATCTGCTACCGAACCGTGCAGCGAGAGCAGACCACCAACTGGGACGCGGGCTTCTAGGCATCGTGCCGCTGCCCGGGCTGCCAGCGGGGCGGGTCATGTGATGTGTGACTTGTGGATCAAGTCGCCTGATGTCCCGCAGAGATGAAATGATGATGATTGTAGATGCTCCGTTCGCTTGATACTTGACGTTCGGCGGAGAAATATACGCCTGACGATGATCTCCGAGTTCCGTGTTTATGTACGACTCACTGAGATAGGTTACCTGTGGCTATGGTCTCTGAAGGGTTCCGCGTTTAGGTACGACTCACTGATTTAGGTTACATGCGGTTATGGTTCTGAAGGGTTCCGTGTCTAGGTACGACTCACTGACTTAGGTTATCTGTGGCTACGGTCTCTGGCGGAATTCCGTATTTAGGTACGACTCACTGACTTAGGTTACCTGTGGCTATGGTCTGAAGGGTTCCGTGTTTAGGTACGACTCACTGACTAAGGGCGGTTGTGGTAGTAACGCGTGAAGCACCGCTTATAGACCGCGATAACCGACTGAAACGAGTCAACTTCACCTTGAATTAAAGCGCATAAATAAGTCCTTGAGCGCAAGCGATATGGTTACGCATCACGTCCCCAACCGTTCAGTATGTACAGGCCTTGAAGGTCGACTTATTCAGTACTTCGTAAAGGGAAAATAGTGCTGATTCTCCCATATACTGCCAGGAGGGATGCATACTGTAACCCCGCCACAACCCAGCTGAAGAACCATTAGTTGCAGGAGGCGGCGAAAATTTTGCTATTGTACTGTGTGCCCATCAGTTCCAGACATGCCCCGGGTTCGACGAAATTCGGCGAAAAATTGGCCGCGTGAATGTGGCGGAAAACGGCATGTAATGGCACTAACCCCAGACGAAGAGAACTCTGGGAGGGGGCACCGAGGTATCCGTTGTCAGTCATGTCACCGTATGCTGTCAGTTCCAAGTTGGCGCTGAGTTTAGTCAGCGCCAGCGGAGTGCGTGGGTGCCTGCCGCTAGATCTGTGTGAAACTCTGCCCCAAGCATACGTGAATCGCACGTACGCTGGGCCAGGACCGCTTTGCGCGACACGTGGGTTCGCTAGTTCGCTGGAACCATTCAATTTCCATGTGTTCCACTTTATTGCTGTCATGCTGGCTGATTCAAATTAGACCTGTTTGTCAAGCTTCGGTCGCCATTTTCCAGCCTTCTCCCGGACGCAGCCGATGCCGCCACGCTCACAAGGGCGTACACCGGTGTGTCCGCTAATGGTCAGAATGTTCGTGTGGCGGCAGCACGTCGTCTGCGTGGACACTGACAGCCAATGGCTACTTGGTTTTCTTAACGATTTCCTTCACTAATAACGGAGTGCGTGTGTTCGGGCCAGCCTCAGCAATGACCCGGGACCCAGCCACGTCTGTTGCGCCGCCCGGCCACGTTCACGTATGTGCCCAGCATGTCCCACGCCGCGGCCAGCTCAGTGAGTTTACAGATACGGGAGCACAGCTAGCTCGGTGTATATGCAGATACAGGATTAACGAGGGCACAGCCAGACCAGATCGGTGCACAAAGCTCCAGAATGTCACGCAAGACAACTGGTAATTAGGGTGCTGAACACACGCATAACGCTCGACATCCCACGCTTCCCTCACTGGTGGCAGGGGATGCCCAACGAACGCAGCGTTCGCATTCTCCACAGGGCTGCATTCGCCAGGACGGCTAGGCACCGACACTCGTGGGCGTTTGCATCACCGCGGGGTGCGGCTCGTTGACAACTCGTGGATCAATCTCGTGTACCGCCTGCGCGTGAGATAATACAAAATTGCTAACGAGCTTAACGACTTACAACGAGCATGTCTATAATGCTACACGCACACTTGCAAAAACATTTTAAGCATAACTGAACAAGCTGGTCAATTTGCATATGAAGCCTACAAGCGCGGAATATGGTATTGCTATAAGCGTTGTTATATGTCACTGGGGGCCGCTGGAAGCACTGGGCACCATGACTGCTTTGTGTATTTCCATGGCTGATTTGTTCGCCAAAGGGAACTTGCCAGATTACCCAGACAGCGGTTCTTTGTTCAAGCAAGGCTGCTGACTATGTCCGATCAGCGCCAAACCACGACTCCAAGCCGGCCCGGACAAGCAGACGGAGAGACATCCCCGAAGTTTGTCCACGTGACTGCCAATAAATAAGTACGAGAATATACGTGCCCGTAAAACTGCTCCAGCCGCTTGGCAGACCGCTGCTGGAGGGAGATTAGGGCCGAGCTCGGCCGCCTCCGTCGTTGCGGACTGGTCTGCAGCCGGCGCCGCGCCGCGCCGCGCCGCGCCGCGCCGCGCCGCGCCGCGCCTCGCCGCGCCGCGCCCGCTCCGTTGTACCGTCGTCTGACTAGTGGGTGGGCGCGCCGCCCGGCGCGCAGCCGGCCGCCGCTCAGGGCTCGTCGCCGCCCTCCGCACCGTACGGCTCCGGCTCGGCCTCGGCCGGCTCCCACTTGTCAAGCTCGAACGAGAAGCGTCGCTCGCCACCGACGGCGCCGCGCTCAGCCGGCGGCGAGTCGGCGCCGGCTGCCGACGCCGCTGCCGCAGCGCCCTCCACCGGCTCCGGCTCCTCCTGCTCGGGTGTCAGCTGCCGCTCCACATCACACTGCGCCGGACACTCGAAGTGCACGCAGTGGAACACCTGCGGCCGCCGGCGCAGCGTCACACACGGAGACCATGGACAGACGGTGGACCGCCGCCAGGACCGGACAGCCGACATACGCCGAGGTGTACCACGCACGAGGCACACACACGCACGCACGCACGCACGCACGCACACCACGGGTGCCAGGATGGGCGCTATTGTGTTCAGGCGCAGTCGGCGATATACAGACGACTTGCGCTGCAGTATGTGAAGGCGTTGTGGAACACAGTAGCTGGATGTGTGACAGATGTGTGGAGGCGACTGGACGGTACAGCGCTGTCTGCCGACCTGGAGCACCACTTGCCTGTCCCGCCGGCATCGGTACGGCCCAGCCATCACACATATGTCCAATGATCAACGCGCCAATCACAATGTCACAGCACAGACGCCAACGTGAAGGGTGCGGGTAGGAAACACCGGTGGTCTCGTATGAATGTCAAGCCGACAGGTGACAATGCATGGCACACGCGCCCCCGGCTTCCGTTGACGGTGGGCGGACACAGTTACACCAAACGGCTGGATCCGAGCCTGGCGAGCGGTGATGAAGCTGCAAACTGAACAAACGAGACGCAAGCGCGGCTGCCCCGCCGGATCCATGGATCCCCTGGTGTGCGCCGCTGGGGCCTCCCCTCCACCTCACCTCGTTGGCCGAGTTTCTGGTGCCGACGATGCGGATGAAGACGACCGGCCGGCGCCGGAACGTGACCACCTGCCAGGAGCGGCACAGCGAGCGGGACCGGTCGCACACCGTCGTCCAGTCGCGCTGGTTGGTCGACACTTCGATGTAATAGCCGTACGTACGGTCGTCGCAGTCCCAGAGCAGCAGCCTGGAACGGAGCGGCGGGCGCGTTACGCCACACCGACCCGGGGAGGGGGGGCGGGGGGGGGGGGGGGGGCGGGGGCGGCACACGCGCCGCTGAGGGTCGGGCCGAGGCGGCGGCCGCACCGCGACGTCGGCGCCAGTCACCGCGCGCTGCGCCCACGAGCTCAGGTCACGCCGGAGACGGGAGCCCATGGGACAGGGTGTGACTGGCATGACCGACGCGTCGAGCAGGCCGCCGGCCGGGGGCGGCGGCTCACCTCATGCTGTCCAGCAGGAGAGACTGGGCTCACCTCATGTTGTCCAGCAGGAGAGGCTGGGCTCACCTCATGCCATCCAGCAGGAGAGGCCGGGCTCACCTCATGCTGTCTAGCAGGAGAGACTGGGCTCATCTCATGCTGTCCAGCAGGAGAGACTGGGCTCACCTTATGTTGTCCAGCAAGAGAGGCTGGGCTCACCTCATGTTGTCCAGCAGGAGAGGCCGGGCTCACCTCATGCTGTCCAGCAGGAGAGGCTGGGCTAACCTCATGCTGTCCAGCAGGAGAGGCTGGGCTCCCCTCATGCCACCCAGCAGGAGAGGCCGGGTTTACCTCATGCTGTCCAGCAGGAGAGACTGGGCTCACTTCATGCTGTCCAGCAGGAGAGACTGGGCTCACCTTATGTTGTCCAGCAAGAGAGGCTGGGCTCACCTCATGTTGTCCAGCAGGAGAGGCCGGGCTCACCTCATGCTGTTCAGCAGGAGAGGCTGGGCTAACCTCATGCTGTCCAGCAGGAGAGGCTGGGCTCCCCTCATGCCACCCAGCAGGAGAGGCCGGGTTTACCTCATGCTGTCCAGCAGGAGAGACTGGGCTCACTTCATGCTGTCCAGCAGGAGAGACTGGGCTCACCTCATGCCATCCAGCAGGAGAGGCCGGGCTTACCTCATGCTGTCCAGCAGGAGAGGCTGGGCTTACCTCATGCTGTCCAGCAGGAGAGGCTGGGCTCACCTCATGCTGTCCAGCAGGAGAGACTGGGCTCACCTCATGCTGTCCAGCAGGAGAGGCTGGGCTCACCTCACGCTGTCCAGCAGGAGAGACTGGGCTCACCTCATTCTGTCTAGCAGGAGGGGCTGGGCTCACCTCGTGCTATCCAGCAGGAGAGGCTGGGCTCCCCTCATGCTGTCCAGCAGGAGAGGCTGGGCTCCCCTCATGCTGTCCAGCAGGAGAGGCTGGGCTCATCTCATGCTGTCCAGCAGGAGGGGTTGGGCTCACCTCATGCTGTCCAGCAGGAACGGCTGGCCCAGCTGCACCACCACGCTGCCGCTGCCCAGCTGGTGGCACGTGTAGCCGTGGTCCCAGTCGTACTTGTCCGTGTCACCGTTGAGCAGGGCGTGGCGGCTCCGGGACACGCCCTCGATCACCATGGCCGAGCGCTGCAGCGTGGCCACGTTCTCGCGCGGCACTGGCGGCGCGCGCCGGCCAGTGTTAGCAGTGCAGGCGCCGACACGCACCAGCGGCTGGCTCGGCGGACATCGACGGTGGCCCGGTCGGGGGGTGGCACCTCCAGCCCACCGTGGAATACGTAACGTCACAAGCGGACTCAACGACAGGAACAAACTGTCGGCGCGTGAGGACCAGACGATCTGCTGCGCTCCACACGGGAGCGCCAGCGCCCATGCAGCGGCGGGCAGCCGTCCGCGGCGGCAGAGCGCCACTCACCGATCAGGCCGTTCTCCACCGGCTCCGGGTGGGTGCAGTAGGACGCCTCCAGCGACACCAGGTGGAACATGCGGTTTACCGTGTTGTTGGTGCCCACTACGCGGATGGATCTGCGGCCAGCCGCGACACCCAGGGCGGGTCAGCACCGGAGCCACAGCCGGGCGTCAGACGGGAACTCCAACCACAGGGACGGGCGCCGTCGCCTCGTTAACGCGCGTGCAATACGCGCGGCACATGTCCAGCTGAACACGCTGCCCCGGTAGGACGGTACGAAACACAACCTTAAGGAGATAACAGCTGATGCCTGGGCATAGTGCAATTAGCTTTAGTGAGAATCATGCAACAGCTCTGGGCGACCTGGGCAATCACTCCTCAGGTCAGTAACAAGCCAGTGAGGTCGGTCCGTGTGACCTGAGCAGCGTCAGTGAGGTCGGTCCGTGTGACCTGAGCAGTGTCAGTGAGGTCGGTCCATGTGACCTGATCAGTGTCAGTGAGGTCGGTCCGTGTGACCTGATCAGTGTCCGTGAGGTCGGTCCATGTGATCTGAGCAGCGTCAGTGAGGTCGGTCCGTGTGACCTGAGCAGCGTCAGTGAGGTCGGTCCATGTGACCTGATCAGTGTCAGCGAGGTCGGTCCGTGTGACCTGATCAGTGTCAGTGAGGTCGGTCCGTGTGATCTGAGCAGCGTCAGTGAGGTCGGTCCGTGTGACCTGAGCAGCGTCAGTGAGGCCGGTCCGTGTGACCTGAGCAGTGTCAGTGAGGTCGGTCCATGTGACCTGATCAGTGTCCGTGAGGTCGGTCCGTGTGATCTGAGCAGCGTCAGTGAGGTCGGTCCGTGTGACCTGAGCAGCGTCAGTGAGGTCGGTCCATGTGACCTGATCAGTGTCAGTGAGGTCGGTCCGTGTGACCTGAGCAGTGTCAGTGAGGTCGGTCCTTGTGACCTGATCAGTGTCAGTGAGGTCGGTCCGTGTGATCTGAGCAGTGTCAGCGAGGTCGGTCCGTGTGACCTGAGCAGTGTCAGCGAGGCCGGTCCGTGTGACCTGAGCAGTGTCAGCGAGGTCGGTCCGTGTGACCTGAGCAGTGTCCGTGAGGTCGGTCCGTGTAATCTGAGCAGTGTCAGTGAGGTCGGTCCGTGTAATCTGAGCAGTGTCAGTGAGGTCGGTCCGTGTAATCTGAGCAGTGTCAGCGAGGCCGGTCCGTGTGACCTGAGCAGTGTCAGCGAGGTCGGTCCGTGTGACCTGAGCAGTGTCCGTGAGGTCGGTCCGTGTAATCTGAGCAGTGTCCGTGAGGTCGGTCCGTGTAATCTGAGCAGTGTCAGTGAGGTCGGTCCGTGTAATCTGAGCAGTGTCAGCGAGGCCGGTCCGTGTGACCTGAGCAGTGTCAGCGAGGTCGGTCCGTGTGACCTGAGCAGTGTCCGTGAGGTCGGTCCGTGTAATCTGAGCAGTGTCAGTGAGGTCGGTCCGTGTAATCTGAGCAGTGTCAGTGAGGTCGGTCCGTGTAATCTGAGCAGTGTCAGTGAGGTCGGTCCGTGTGACCTGAGCAGTGTCAGCGAGGTCGGTCCGTGTGACCTGAGCAGTGTCAGTGAGGTCGGTCCGTGTGACCTGAGCAGTGTCAGCGAGGTCGGTCCGTGTGACCTGAGCAGTGTCAGTGAGGTCGGTCCGTGTGACCTGAGCAGTGTCAGCGAGGTCGGTCCGTGTGACCTGAGCAGTGTCAGTGAGGTCGGTCCGTGTGACCTGAGCAGTGTCAGTGAGGTCGGTCCGTGTGACCTGAGCAGCGTCAGTGAGGTCGGTCCGTGTGACCTGAGCAGTGTCAGTGAGGTCGGTCCGTGTGACCTGAGCAGTGTCAGTGAGGTCGGTCCGTGTGACCTGAGCAGTGTCAGTGAGGTCGGTCCGTGTGACCTGAGCAGCGTCAGTGAGGCCGGTCCTGTGACCTGAGCAGTGTCAGTGACGCCGGTCCTGTGACCTGCGCAGTGTCAGTGATGCCGGTCGCGCAGTGGGTGCCGCCCGAGCGCCGCCCCTCTCACCGGACGACGCGGGCCGGGAAGTACAGCGTCTGCCAGCTGCGGCAGTGGTAGCGCGAGTGGTTTACCACGCGCACCCAGTCACACTCGTCCATGGACACCTCGACGCAGTACGAGTACGACCTGGCGGCGAGGGAGGCGCGTTAGCGGAGGGCCGCGGTCACGTGCATCCCCCTTGCCCCGACAGCCGAGGCGCCGGCTGCGTCACGTGAGGTCAGGCTAATACCGCACGTCTATGCAGTTTTCATACCTTAAATAGCTGATCACTGCACTCAAGTTCTTGTGAATGCCTTGCTAACATTCTGACAACTACAAAATGACGTATGGTTAGCACTTACTTTTCAAAAGGGGTCCGCAATAGAATCACTTTAACAGAATACACATACCTGACACAAACCATGGGTTGCCTCATGCCAACTAGTCCAACTCATGATACGAAGCACAGCATGGACAAGCAGCCAATGCCTGTGTCTGGGTGCGGGGGGGGACAAAACAAAGCAATAAGACAGAACCTCACCTCATGTCCTTATCCCAAAGCAGCATCTTAACATGGTTTATGATGCATGGCATACCGAGTCGAACTTCGATACAGTTGTCAGCGCCTGAAGCAATAAACACACGCTTTTGTTCAATATAGCCTAAAGCTTATCCCAAGAAATTACCCAACGACAAGCACTAACAAAAACTTCCCGCGGAGCAGACGGCCAACAAAACATTAACAACAATGGCGTAGACGTAAGCTCTATAGACAGCAGCAGCTGTACGGACATCAGCAGTTATATGTGCTGCAATAAATGGGAAGCTTTACATTGCCAAGGCAAAAGCCCAGTGTATCGTGGTTTGGTGAAGCGATCCTGGGGTTCGAATCATTATCACAAACGAAAATCAAGCCAAACAGTCCTCTACCAGGTCTAACAGTCACCACACACCAACAGTCCAAACAGACCCAACAATCATCACACAACTGTCATTACGGACCACCCCGCATCTGCATACAAGGACTCCTTACCCAGGGTCTGTACACCAGCGCTCTTCACAATGTTCGCTATAGCCTGATACGAAAGACTAATGGCATGATTGCACGATCGTCTGGCTTCGCGTCGTGGCATTCTCTGGGGTTACTGATGGCTCGGCGCAGAGTCAAGCGCCGTTGCCCTGGACGGCGGTGGGCCGCCGCCGTCCAGGGGAACGGCGTGGCCTTCTCTGGGTTTGCTGATGGCTCGGCGCAGAGTCCAGCGCCGTTGCCCTGGACGACGGTGGGCCGCCGCCGTCCAGGGTAACGGCGCGGCCTTCTCTGGTTTTAGTGACGGCTCGCCGCAGAGTCCAGCGCCGTTGCCCTGGACGGCGGTGGGCCGCCGCCGTCCAGGGGAACGGCGTGGCCTTCTCTGGTTTTAGTGACGGCTCGCCGCAGAGTCCAGCGCCGTTGCCCTGGACGGCGGTGGGCCGCCGCCGTCCAGGGGAACGGCGTGGCCTTCTCTGGGTTTGCTGATGGCTCGGCGCAGAGTCCAGCGCCGTTGCCCTGGACGACGGTGGGCCGCCGCCGTCCAGGGGAACGGCGCGGCCTTCTCTGGTTTTAGTGACGGCTCGGCGCAGAGTCCAGCGCCGTTGCCCTGGACGGCGGTGGGCCGCCGCCGTCCAGGGGAACGGCG